CTTCCCGGGTTCTGGGAAACGAATAGCCACCATCTCTCTAGTTTTGCAGCCGTTGATATTGGCGATAAACATGGGCGGGAACAAGGCTTCAGGCTTCTCAAGCACCACAGGCTGGTCGTTGCCAATTACAGTAATCGGCGCACAGTTCATGTACATTTCTCGATTGCCGATACGATTGAACCATGTCCAAGCCAATGTATATTTTCCAGGTTCAATCCCTTCAGGTATCCTGAAGGGAAGATGGAGGGAATTGTCGGAATCGGCGCCCCCAACAAGCTGTCCGGCTACATTTGCGGGGCACCCTCCCTCGAACGACTTAATAACTTTCCACTCAGAATCTTTTGTCGGAACACGATCCTTGGTAAGACTGATTTGGCACGAGCCGCCTCCATGGGTTATGCTTCCTTTGAGTTTCAGTACCTGATCGTCCCCGATGCGGTAGGTTGCTTCTCCAGAGATTTCAAATGCATTTGGACGTAGCTTACAGGGGAAGTCACTTCCATCTGCAGCAAGAGGCGAGTTGTTGAGAGTATCATTCCCGTAGGGTTCTGGCTCCATTACTAGCAAATGGGCATTGGCCCAAAGAACAACCACCCCGAGTGTGAGATAGTGTTTAATGATCATGGGGGAATATGAAGACGCTGGGAGCTTCGAGCAAAGATTTTCCCAGTTTTGTGAGAGTGAAAGCACTGGAGGTAGAACCTTGCCTCGATTATATAGGATCTCACTGTAATCCAGTGGATGTCGGAGCGGGACATTCTCCATCAAAGAGAAAAACTTTTCAACCCATCATTTGTCTAATTCTGAAGGTCAATCAATATTGAGATCATGTACAGTATTCAACTATTCGAACTACATGCGTATTAACCTGTTGACTTCTTTGGTTCAACGCCGGGTAAGTTGATGAAACGGTGAACAAAAAGCTGTTAATACAGATTGCATGACAGGCTAGCTGAGACACGTTGAGCAAAGTTTATCAACGCATGCCCGAATGAAATTTCGAAATATTGAGCTTTATGAAAGAAACTATGATCTATGGCAAATATCGATCTTTAAACGGTGTTCTTCTCAACCGTCTAGCTACAGAAGATACGCCTGTAGAAAGTATGGTGGCATCCTCACGATCCAGTTGCAAGTTATTTCCAAATTTAAGCACATAAGAACCTTCTGTGAATGTCCTCTTGATTACATCTACCGTGGATTTGCTATCATAATGAACGTCAATTTCAAGTCAAAGACCGTTTCCACACCCTCTATTGATCAAAAGACACGGAGAAGAAGAAACACGCTCTTCAGGAAAGCTACTGAGTACTGCTCAGAATGCTTTGCAGATATCCAAATGATTATTCGATTGAAGAAAACCGGAGACGTTTACATTCTGACATCGAAGTCGAAAGGCTGGCCACTTTCCGAGACCCAATTGGTATGAATACTATATTCACTCTTCTTACAGACTTATTGCATTCTCACTAATAATATCACAGGAAAGCTATTACCCAATGCCCAAGGTGCAATTCATCAACACGGAGCCGTGAATGTGGCAGAACATTCTCAATTTCTGATCTTTGCCTTGTTTTTGTACAACCTTTTTGCTCAAACATGGGATCTCTGTCTAGCTTCTTCTTTCCCATTGAGCATACCTAACTGCTTGATTGTTCCAAGCCTCTGCAATTTTTCGACTGGCCAAACTGCGGCCCATCATTTTTATAATTTCGGTCCTTGTGACCCAGCTGCAACCACCTGGACACAGCGCGTGATCTGTGGGTTCTATCTCCGTCCACTCGATTTTGAGATAAGTCCTTGGTGCTCGTTGGTGGAAATTCTCGGTTAAATCTCCCATAGAAACAACACCGACAATGTTTTTGATGTTTTTCCATCCATACTTGCGGCGCTTAAATCCGCGTGAATCGAGAACCTTTATGTTGGGGATTCGACTTTGAGGGTCTGAAACATCTTGCAGCGCCGTAACATGAATGCACCACGTAGGATGTACAACGTACGTACACATATCGATTGGACCGAGGCGTACAATGAGCACGATAGCTCTTCCGACAAGAAACCATGCATCGGTTCGTCGATATTCATCCCTTGAACATACACAGGCCAGACGAGTGAGAAGCCTGTCGTCGCTCTCTCGCCGTTCCCATGTTCTCTGAGGACTAGACTCTGTTGAAAATCGGTGTGCGATCTCAATATGTTGGTTATCCGGATCGATGTCTCCGACGCGCTGTGTAGGATTACCTGGGACTGGTTCGGAAGGCTCCGTTTGACTGTCCAGGAGCTCAGACGTATGTAAATGGGAAAGGTAATGTTCCGTTTCCAGACCCACGTCTCGAGGATCCGCACCACACTGCACCAGAATCGGGCAGAATTCCTTTGAGGTGTTGAAAGCATGTAGAAGTGCTTGATTAAGCTGTGGTTGGCTTGCCGAACGTCCTAGTTGCCACAGTAAATCATGTTTTTTCCGGCTCTTCCCGATCATGATGTACTCTAGCGCAGATTGACCAAAGGAGTTACGGATGGCATTATCGGCGCCGCAGTCCATCAAATATAAAATGATTTCCTCATCGCCTTGATAGCACGCGTCCATGAGAGGCGTGGAGAAGCGATCCCTGCGATTGATATCAGCCCCGACACGGACGAGGGCTTGTACAATGGGCAAGGAAGCCTTTAATATTGCATAAGACAGTGCAGTATTGTCACACTCATCACGCTGATCTATGTGAATCAATTCTTTTGATTCTTTCATGTTCCGAAGAACTTTGCAGATGGTTTCAACAGTTTTCGTATCCTGCTTCATAACAGCGATGTGCAAGGGGGTCATTTTCATGCTATTTGTGTCGAAAATTGCGCATGGGCAGCTTCTCAAGTAATGATCGATCGCTTCATGGTGGTCACGAGTGAGCCAACTTTGCAGTATTGGCCAATTGCATTCTGCACAGTCACGAACAGTCACTCGGAACACATCTTCGGGTAACAGATTTCTTGCGTGGACTGCCATGAGCGTATCGATATCTCGAAGTATTGGCGGTTCACTGGAGATGGCACGCTGGATTATGCATTGTAGCCACCTTTTCGGCCATGGATAGCGCATGAACAGTTTTGTGAGAGTCTCAAGGTTCTCAAGGCTTGGTCCGACTTCATGCTTGAGGAAATCCGTAGATGCCAAGAAAAAATCCCATCGACAGAATACGAAAGAGATAACATCTTTCACGGGGAGATAGTCTAAGATATCGTACAATAGTTCGGCAGGAAGCGACAAGATGTGTGCTCTTGAAGAGTCTTTGGCCCTGCCTTGCGCTGTACTGCTACCACATTCACTCGGCGAGAACATGGCACCCTCACCGTCTTTGTGAATGGAAGAGACGGTTGATAAATCCATAAACTTCAGAAAGAATTATGAAAGATCTTCGGGGGAGCTGAATGTTATAAATATTATGAGCCAGCAAAAGCCCAAATATTGTTGATCGCCCGCAGAGTAGGGAGGCATTCCTGGCAGCTAAAACCGGAAACTTTACCTCAGATATCTATCTAACATGGACTCAACTTGACGCAAATAATTAACCCCAATCTTGAAGGTAAACAAATGGTTTCCTTTCCTTTTTCATCTAGCTCATGGCTCTTCAATCGACAGCTGGCGATAGCGGTACGTAAGATGAGGTCTTTTTAAAAAAAAGTAAAATATGTTGAAGCAAAAAATGTATCGATCAATGGCTGATCACTACTTTGATGTTAAGTCGTAGTGCTGAAAGTTAACTTACACAGCATCACACATATACGGGTGATGTAACAATCTATTTCATGTACGGCTATGAGAGAATATTTTTCCTCGAAATGCTCAGGGTGTGCTCAGGGTGTGCTCGGGGTGTGCTGAGGGTGTGCTGAGGGTGTGCTGAGGGTGTGCTGAGGGTGTGCTGAGGGTGTGCTGAGGGTGTGCTGAGGGTGTGCTGAGGGTGTGCTGAGGGTGTGCTGAGGGTGTGCTGAGGGTGTGCTGAGGGTGTGCTGAGGGTGTGCTGAGGGTGTGCTGAGGGTGTGCTGAGGGTGTGCTGANTGGGGTGTGTCTGGGGTGTGTCCTGGGTGTGCCTAGGGTGTGCTCATGGTATGAATTGTCTTAAGGCGTGAAGTTTTTCGTGCGCAATGTTGTTGCTAAAATCCCCGAGAACACCCGGAGCCATGAAGGGTGTGAAGCTTTGAGCCACGCCGTTCTGGTCGACAATTATAACATAACTAGTCAATGCGGAGCCTCGTAATGGCAATCAATACCGATGTTCATATGACATTCAGTTGATGCTGCTACAATTTGAATCAAATTTGGAACCCTGCATTAGGTTTTTCTAACACAAAATAGGTTTGACTCATCTGTGTTCTTTAAACGGCTTGCGGTGGAAAGTTACGCAACTAATAACTCTGGACCTGGTTTTCAAAAAGACACTGCTATGAAATATTTGCTCTCTCTTCAGACTCCGAAATGTAGTCCAACAATTACCTTCTCTCAACGTGTCAAGTACCTCCAAGAAAGTACACCGTACCTTCAAAGTGAACATATACGATCGATTCCAAAGAGCACATGCCGAATGGGAGCGGGAAGCCAGCACAGTGGAGATCAACCACCAATTTGAGAGTCATAAAGGTAGTTCTCAGGATTGCAAGAAGTGTGAAGTACCGGATGAACCGCTGAGAAAAGACTACTTTCCTGAAGAGCCTCGCAGTAGCCTATTGAGTGAAGTTCTGGCCTCCGTGATTGGCGTGGGAAACTTGGATGGAGTAGGTGGTGATTCAAATGCTCGCCGTCTCAAGAAGATTCGGCGCAGCTAGTGCTATAATTTGCCGGTCATATTATTGCTTTGATTTTATTACTACAAGTCGTTATTAAATATCTTGGCTACGAGTGGTCATTGTGGACTTTTCTCAAAATCAAGAAGTATGCGATCAAATATCAGTATGCTGTTCACGCGTGGCCTCGCTTTGCAAGACATATTTAACCAAGAAACGTCTAATATTTATGGGAGGGGCAGGCCCAGAGCTGGTAGGGGTAAGCAGGAGACAATTCCATGCACTCTTTGCGCGTGGTTCAGGAGTCCTGATTTGGACAACAGCTTTTCCCCGCAAATGTTGCACTCACAATGCATGTCATTTGGGAACGGCTTGATATGCTGGTTGACGAAGTGTCGGCTGAGGGACCCAGAGTTCTTGTACGTTTGCAGCCGTTTGCTTTCTGGCAGTTTAGCCTTACCAAGACATATAAAGCATATCGTTGGTCTCTCTTCTCGAGATTTGACGCAAACAGAAGCGATGGCTTGAGAAAACCTATCGTCACTCTCATCTGAAGGGGTAGACTTTTGTCTCTTAGGCAGGGGAGAAGCAGGTGGCGTATCAACAGCATCGACAGAGCGTTTTTGCGACGCACCAGGCCGCGAGGGAGCACCCTCTTCCGCATCACAGACTGCAATCACTGCATTGATTGCAGCGATGCGACGTTCGTATTCTTTCGTGACCGTTGTACCCGGCATAGTCAGGATACTGTCAATGAGCGTCATATGCTGCGGTGTCATGTAGCCAGTTCGCTGCAATGCACCCATGACTTCTTCGTCGACAACCTTTCCAGAGAGTTGCCGCTCGCTGTCTATCACTGGCTGCTCATTTTTGTACCGCTCCAGGTTCTCACGAATCAACAGATGCTTTTGCCGCCTCTTCTCGTTCCGCAATTGTTTCACTGCGCGATCATACTGCTCGTCTGCGCAATCGAATTTTTGACGTAGCTTTTTCAAGCTTTTCTCCAGGGCCTTCCTCCGCTTGCGGGCGTTTCTGGAGAGAGTTACACTCAGCGGATCATCACCGAACTCTCGTAGAAATGCGGCTTCTGCATTTTCATAGTTGCGCATCTTAACGTCACGAATACGCTTTCTCGCATGTTTCGTGTCTTCCAGGGCACGCACACGGGGGATATCATTGATACAGCTTGAATCTTCCAGTCGGTAGGGCCTGCGAGGGTCGATGGACCGACTCATCGAGCAGGCAAACCGCATGAGTTGCTTCTCAGCAGGCAAGCCCCGGACAATGGCCTGCGCATCTACGTGAATACCCACACTGTAGTGCCGCACAAATGTATCAATGCTTGCGTGCTGCAGCATGACGTTCTGCAGTTCATTTGATACGTCCGCTGATTGAGAAGACGGCATTAGTCCAAATTTCTAGAATCGCAATGGGTCACTCACGACTATCGTTGAACGCTTTTGCTGCGCCGTATCGAAGACAATATGGCTTCGCTACTTCCGCAAAGCCAGTAATCTCACCACCTCTTTTCATTCTATAGCCCAGCCATCCCCGGGTAAGTGGCATTTCTGGTGCAAATCGAAACCCATCCGCCTCCCGCAAAGCTTGGCAAAACACATGCTGATCCATGATTTCGTCTTTCAGCTTTAATTCCTGTTCACCGAGACCATGTAAGACCCGAAGTCGGTACAATTTCTCAGGGCAATCCAGCACAGGGCTATCATTGGACAGACTCTTAAATGCGCCGATTCTGAACAGAATACCCAGCAGAAAAACGTGAGGACTGAGGACCAACGTGGGATCAAAGATAATTTCCGGAATGGGAAACGCCTCCCTGGATGAAAATGGTAAGAAAAAGGACGTCGAGACGCATGTAACTGAACTGAGCAGGGCAAACGTAAGGAATAGCGTAGTGATTAGATGTCACTTACGACTGCTTTTCACCAAGAAACCCTTTTGTGAATTCCGGTCTGAGGTAGATAAAAAGCCGAGGACGTCCTCCGTTTGGATCCCGAATCAATGTCAACTTAAGATCCCGAAAGCGGAGTTTCAGTAGCGCCCCCGGACGATTACCGGTGATAGCGGCCAGCTGACAGAAAAGGAGGAGCTGTATCCGATACCAACCACAAGGGAAAGTCATCTCTGTCGTAGACAGGATCACTCGGGCAAATTCAGCTACATCCTCGACAAACATCGTCGCTTTTGGGCGTTTTTTGAGGGACAGTTTTTTCTCCGTCGCAACTACCGCGAGCACCTAGGGAACGTCAGTCGTATGAAATTGCCGATGTTCATAATCATCGGGATCTCACATCACGAATCTTAACTTGGATATCTTTGCTGAGGCCATGTCCAACCGCGGCCTTGTAGATCAGATGCCACCACTTCCAAAATGCGTCGAGCGAGCTTTTGGTTTTCCAGCCCCGGGGTCCGACGTCCGTCCTTTCCACGTCGCTGATCACAACGCCAGGAAAAAAGGGCCTTAAGGAAGCGGACAGTCTCCTCTGTATCGGAGATCCAGGATAGACATTTCACTGGATCGCGCTTTGCGCCCTCGCAGAACCTAGAACAATCAGTGACCTAATTACTGTATGCGGGAATGCTGTAAAGATGCCTCACCTATCCCAGAAATCTTGCGTCTCATCCAACCTCTCTTGAGTCTTCGGGCTATACCGTTTCTGTCGGAGCTGGGAGACATCAAGTGCCTCGGCCTCCTGGAGGTAGTATTCTGGTGAAAGCTGCTCCTCTTCGTCTTCCAGTGCCAGTTCATCTTCGAGTTCATCGTCGGATTCACTGTCAGAGTCGCTGCTGCCATCGAAGACGCTAGGGGCGGTGGAGGAATCAGAGTCGGAGGCGCTGTCCGAGAAAACCTCGGGCAGGTCTGAGCTAGTATCGCTCTCATCGTCGGACAGAATAAGACAAAGAGGAGAAGGCATGGTAGCGGAACGCAGTGTGAGATCGAAGAGGGCCAGGAGGAGCAAGGACGAGTCGTCGAAGCACGAGAGAATGATCGAGGCAATGATCGAGGTTGATACGAGTTCACCTGGAGCAAATCATCCGTTGGAAATCCAGACCAGGGGCTGGGGGAGTTGCTGAAGAGCAAGGGAGAACTGTCGGTCGGGGGCCATGGTGGTTGATATTTATGGAAACTTGGGGAAGCAAAACCGCTCAACAGAGGAGCCAAAATGGATCGATCCCCTGTGCCGGAAAGATGGCAGAGGGTGAGCAAGGATGGGTCGCTGTGGCGGCTTGTGGCACGAAGAGACATCGGTCGATCAATGGGGCCAGGCACCAGGCACCCCGACGCGAACCACGGGTGGCAGTAAAAAGGTTGGCCGTGGGCTTTGGCACCCGTGACGCCAAGGCCGCCCACGGTGAGCGAGCGGCCTAAAACGGCGTCAAAAGCGGCCGTTTCTGGCCTCCCTCTCACCGTGTCATGCATATTAGTAGTTAAACTAATATAGCGAGAGTTTTAGAATCGAAGTCGAAGAGAAGTTATTAATTTTACTATCTTAATTTAGAGCCTATAGAATATCTACTACTCTCTTACGGAAATTTTAAGTGTCTCGGAGATTCCGACTAAGAAGAATACTTTAATAAAATAGCTAGAGTTTCTCGCACTTAGAAGGACTTTAAGACCTTATGCCCCCGTATTAATAAGATGGTTTTCGAACATTATAAAGCTAATAATCGCCTAACTACCGTTAAGAGAGAGGCGGCGTATTCTCTATAAGAACTTATTAAGCGGACGTGGCGCTTATCTAAGATACCACTTCCTAAGCCTAAAGTAAGATACGCACTCCGAAACATAAGGGAAATAACTCGCTAGTACGATAACTATCTTCGATAGAATTCTATTGATTCGCGATTTAGATTCGAGCAAACCTAAGACTCTTAGCCGAAATTCCTATCGATAGATAATATTAAAAGATCTATTCGTTAGCATAGGTTTCTAGAGTATATCTCTTCTACTCTCCTCTTTTACCGCCTTAATATTCTCGCTAGGGAATTTAAAGAAGTTAAGAGTGATCTTTATAAGAGTTCTTAGGATATGACTTTTTACCACCTAGATAGAGCTAGTATCCTCTAGATATAGGATAGTAAAGGAAGAGCTAAGGCGTCGTTCTCCGGTTTAAAGGAGGCTAAAGGGGATGCCCTAGAATTTATTAACTTTGTGACCCGTTTTAAATTTCTATATATATATAATAGAGTGATATTAGGCACGGTGGCTATAGAATATAGAATAGAATAGATATAAGAATCTTTATATAAATAGATTCTATTAATAGATTCTATATTTAAATAGAATCTCTATAGAATCTCTNGTATATATAATAAGCTTTTTGACTACCTAGAATTATCTATTCGCTAGCTTCGGCGGAAAAAGGTTCCTTAGAAGTAATAGATACTTAAAGCTCTTTAATCTACCGAAACGAAGCTACGAGAGTATATAGATTATAGAATAGAATAGATATAAGAATCTTTATATAAATAGATTCTATTAATAGATTCTATATTTAAATAGAATCTTTATAGAATCTCTATAGAACTATAGAACCATATGATATCATATAGGTCTATACGATTCTATAGTGAGATCATCACTTATTATTATTGCCACCTATTGCCACTGAAAATCTAGGGATAAATACTCCCTCGATCCTCTGCTAAACAGTTTTGAATCTCAGTTCTGAATTTATTCTTGACTACCCTCTTACTACTATTCACCATCCAAACTTCATTACACTATATAGCTATACTATATAGCTATATATTAGGTCTGTCTAATCACCTAGCTTCCTATACGCTAACTACTTGCTCATAGTGGCCTAAATGATTTTGTTATATATCTTATTTTATAATATATAATAATAACGAGTTAAAACGAATATATTCTTTATTTTCGACCCCTATATCAGAATTCGCCTTCTAAAGTATTAACTAGCCTAGATTAACTAGACGCGCTACGATTCCGCGTTAATTATGCTCGAAGGATATTCCGAGATAGTTATACGACAATAGCTTATTAAGAGTTTACCGTTAATATAATGCTATATACTTAATATTTTTATTATTCTTTAGATCGTGGCTCTATATCCTTCCCCCCCTCCCCCTAAATTATACGCTTATTACTAGTCTCTACCTAGTAATCGCGCTAACCCGAGCATAGTAAAAAATATATATCTAAAGGGGTAATTTCAGGCGAGCATTACCGAGCCCCGGATCGCGAATAACTCTTAATCACGGAACGGGGTAGGATAGACGAGGGAGATAGGGATTTATCTACCTAAGAATTTACCGCGAGCCTAATTTACCCTCGAAATGCTTTTCTAATTATTTAATATTATATAGGTATAATTAAGGATCTCGCGCTAATAGAAAACCTATTAGCCGTGTTTAGATATATATTATTTATAACGTTATATAATAACCTAAATTACCGTGTTAGAGGTAGCACCCCTAACTATTAGTCACAGGAGTAATAAAGTACTATCTTTATGCTATAGCCTCCGTACTCGTGCCCCTTAGAGGATAGGATTGTGCCTAGTATAAGACTACTACGGATCGCAGTAGATCGCTTAGCGATTAAGTTTACGGGTAATCACCCGCTATAATTACCACTCTTAACTCCTTACTAGAGGAGCACTAATATACTATTAGTAGCTTTACGGATAGTGTATAGCCACTAGAAATAGGGAACGGATGATTTAAATCACGTTATGAGATTAAGGGGATATAGTGTAGGCTTCACGGTGCCTAGCGTCTGCGGCTACCTGATCTACGTCCTTTATCTACCCCTTCCTTGTTGCCGTATATAATATCTAGCTTTACTTATAGCCCCGCCACTTTTTCTTCTAGGGTATCTAGTCTCTAGTAGTGCTCTATAATGGTCTCTATCTATTGTTATATATGGTTATTCTAGCTACTTGATCTACTCGTCTATCGCTCTAGACACCTATTGTTAGAATACCTTATAGACTTCGTGTCGGTAGCTTGGAGATGTGACTCACTACACTTAGTCATCCAATCTATATGACTATGAGTGAGGAATAAGTTAGGACGAAGGCTGGTTTAACTTACTACCGCATAAATGTACCAGCTAGTGCTATAGATACTAGGGGGGAGTGTTGCTCTAGGTTATCTAAGTCGGATAAAGCTAAGATTAGAGACCCCGCGTCCTATTCGTTGCTTTTAGTACGTTAGCGGCTAACGTCGTTCTTAGTCATATTATTAGTATTATTATATAGTAGTTAGTCGTTATAGTTAAAAGGATAATTATTATCGGGAAGACTATAAATAGAGGAACCGTGCCGTTATTCCGACCTAAACTTCTCGCGCTAAGTAGCTATAAACGCGGCTAGAGCTATACTAGGCTCGTAATCTAGTGGAGGGGCTATAGAGCTAGAAGTATATAGTGGTATTTATTCTAGTATACCCGCTCTAGAGGGTAAATATCTAATATATACCTAGGTATAGTAGTAATAAATACTTTCTATACTTCTCTACACTAGAAATCTGAGCCCTTCCCGAATATCTTCTCTACTAGCCTAGATCGGGATCCTATAGCGCTAGATAAATGACTCGGGAGTCACTTTTTATATAATAAAGAAGGTATATACACCGAGATATCTCTTTAGATAGAGTAAAGGCCGTCGTTACTATCTAAATTTTAGTTAGGTAATAATAATTCGGAATTCCGAGATAGTAATTTCTAACACCTTAAATAGAAATTAAGCGGCATATTCTATTAATATACTATATTATAACTTTTTTATATTCTAATTATTTATAGAGTCTAGCGGACATTATAAGCTAACTAGCGTAAATAGAAAGCTAATATAATAGCGAGCTTATAAATCTATCTTTCTAATAGTTTGTGATTTCTATATAGCTACGCTAAAGGATTATCCTAAAGAATATATAACTAGTACTAACAAAGATTATAGTATTCGAGCTAAGTATTATTACTAAGATATCTCGATCTTTCTAAGATTAAATAGAAGGTAAAAATATCGCCTATTTATATTTCCTTATAACCGTTCCTAAATCGCCGAGGCCATTAAAGATTATCGAAGCTTACCGCGCTTATCTTTATTCCTTACGCTTTAGATTATCTACTATTAATTTAGCCACGGAGGTCCTTAATCTAACCTCTTAAAGTAATCCTATTAGTTTTTGAAACGGCACCTAGAAGCTTACTCTTTAAAATAAAGCTTTCGTAATCTCCTATTAGAGAAGAGTGCTTTAGATATTAAGGAAGGATATTTTTCTACTTAACTAGAATATAGGTCGGCCGTGTAAGAAGTACCTTAGTTTGAGCTTCGTGACTCGACATTTCAGAGTAGGGCGCGACTATAGTAACGACTTTTTCGATGTTACTAAAATTATATTAGTACTATACCGGACTGCTCTTTATTAGTATATTAAGTATTATTTCCTTACTACCCGTAAGATCTAGAAGATTCTTAAGCTTAGAAACACCCTATTTTTTTGCCTTACTAATCTCGTAATTCGTTTAGCCGATTTAGTAGATCCTCCGCTAGTAATTCTTCTTCTAGTTACTACTATATTATATAACTAGAACACTAATAGGTTCTGCTTCGTCCTTAAATCTTACTCGCCTTCCGACGATAGCCTTAGGCTTCGTTAGACACCTATCCGGAGTTTGTAATATTTCCCGAGAGCGTTCCTTACCTTTTTAGTTAAAATTATACCTAGATATTTAGGGATGGTCTTCTAGGTCTATAGAATATATATTGTCTAGTCTAGCTAGCTTAGGATCTATTCCGTTAATTAATTAGAATTTCTCGTCGAATCGGCTAGGGTTAGTGAATCTATAGTTTATTAAGATAGAATAAAGCTCGCTAAGCCTTCTTTTATCCTCTTTAGATAATAGTTTCGCTTTTTCTAAAGATCGATATTCCCTTATCTATGC